GAATCGGTGGTTATTCGATTATTCAGTGGATCATGGTAATCGGTAGTCGATTTATAACTAAATATGTAGAAATTTATTTATTTCCATCATTCAGGGCCGGTTTCCAAATAGCGAGTCACCCCCAGGGTTAAGGATAACTCTAGGGGCGGGTATTATAAAACTGCTTTGACAGTTAACTTGGAGTTAACTTTTTGAATTACATGTAATTTCAGAAGTTAATTTTAAGTTAAAACCAACCCGCAGGTGACTCACTATTGAGAAACTAGAGGTGAGTTGCGATTTTACAAACTGTGACTTTGTCACTGCTACTCGTCTGTCACAGTCACGGCCTGCTCCGGTCCCACTCAAGTACATTTTGTCACGGCCACTTCGATCTCTAACCGATACAGTGCGGACTAACCTCAACTTAAAGTGATGCAAATAATGAAATATTATTATAAATCACATTGCGGTGACGCAAAACAGAAACTGCCACTGCAGAGGGCAGACTGGAACATTCTTCTCGGCCGTGACTGTGAACTGGGCGAACTGCGATTATGTAATGTACCATGTATTACCAGCACAGCCAGTCAAGTCACTGTTATTTGTTACCGTAACACGACTAGAGCAGTCACGTCTTGTCACAGTTCCAGTAAAATCGCAGGTTTGCCCACTTCTAGTTAAAACCAACCCGGAGGTGACTCGATATTGAAAAATCGGCCTACAGGGACGAAAAAATGTAGCAACCCTGGCACAAAAGTTGCGGCAACCCTGACGCAAACGTCAAAAAATTTGACATGTCAAAGTAGGCTTTGTAATTTTTTACAATTAATTCAAAATGGCGTTTGTTTGTTTTTTGTTTTGAGAGTCCCCTTTTTTTGATTCAGAGCCTCGTTTTTTCAGCTAAATTTAGTGTTTTTTAAGTGCAAAGTACCTAAGCTCTAAAACCCCTTTGAGTAGGACAAGGCAAGAGATAAAGTAGGATGTAATTCAAGTGCTCACTTTTTTTCAAAGAGGCAGAAAAATCTTATTTACCCCTAATTTTAGTATTTGAAACTAGAAATTTATGGATGAAAATAAAGAAAACTTAAAGCCTCGTAATTAAAATTGGTTTTTCCGATCGAAAAAGTACTGGAAAAGCGGAAAATCCAAAGAAAATCCCGTAAAAATTACAATCCAGTCTACGTAATAAAACTTGAGTTTTTGTCACTTACCCCATTGGAAAACTGGAAATTTTTGGCAACAAATGAAGGAAATTCAAAGCATCGTCTTCTCAATCGGTTTTGCCAATTGAAAAAGCCTGAAAAAGCGGAAAATTCGAGGAAAAACTGGATAAAAACATTCAAAAATGACTGTCAAAACTGGGAAATGACATTGTGCGACGTTGCCACATCTCAATTACATTTTAAAGTTTTTTGTCCAAATAATTAATTAATAATGTTTATAAAATGATAAATTCCGAAAATAATGCATTATTGGAATCTTATTTTTAATAAATTTCAATAAAAATGATATTCCAAGGCCTGCTTAATAGTAAGAAAGACAAAGAGAGAGATTAGACAAATTAAATCTAAAAATCGAAGTTTTTGGTGGAAAAATGAAGCAAATTCAAAGCGCCCCGCCTTTAAAATCATCTTTTTGTAATTGAAAAATGGAAAGGTAGAAAATTCAATGGAAAACTAACATTCCAAAGCCTACTTGAAAAATCAAAGTTTTGGTCACTTACTCCATTGGGAAACTGGAAATTTTTTGTGGAAAATAGAGAAAACTCAAAGCCAAGCACTTTAAAACGATTTTCCCGATTGAAAACGGCCTGGAAAATCGGTAAATTTGAGGAAAAACTGGACAAAAATGTAAACTCGTCAATTGAAAATGGCTGACTGTCAAAAATGGCAAATGACATTTATTACAAGGTGTACTTGAAGTTGACTACAAACGATGTTGCCACGTCACAGAACTTCCAAAAAAATCATTTAAAATGGGATTCTACTTGTAAACTAATAATTAAAAACCCGTTAAATAATTCATAACGATTTTTAAATTAGAAATTCCTTAAATAAGTCCTCAAAAACTTGCTTTTCAATAATTTTTTTTCACTTACCTTTTGACCGTAAATAAATGGATCTAAAACTGGAAATTTCTAGCAGAAAATGGAAAAAACTCGAAGCCTCGTACTTTAAACTAGTTTTTTCGACTGAAAAAACCCTGAAAAAGTGGAAAATTCAAGGAAAACCTGGATAAAAATGTAGACGCGACACTTCAAAATGGCCGATCAATAATTTGGTAATGAGTATGACAAAGAGAGAGATAAAGTAGGATACTATTTTAGTCTAAAAATGGAAGTTTATGGTGGAAAATTGAAGCAAATTTAAAGCCCTGCACCCAAAACAGTATTTTTCCGATTGAAGAAGCCTTGGAAAAGTGGAAAATTTAATGGAAAACCAAAATTCTAAAGCCTACTTGATCAAACCAAGGTTCTGAACACTAACCTCGTTGGGAAACTGGAAATTTTTGTCAAAAAATGAAGGAAACTCAAAGCCTCGTCTCGTAGGTACTTTAAACAAGTTTTTTGATTGAAAAACCGGAAAACTCAATTCAGGAAAAGCTGGATAAAAACACTCGGCTGTCAAAAGTGGCAAATGATATTACATTACAAGGCCTACTTAATCGAAAACAACGTTGCCACAATTACAATCTCAAATAGAATGGTTTTCCTCATTTTCCAACAAATAAAAAAAATTCATTTTCAATGTTAATTTGTATTACTGTAATCACTGCTATTATTTATCACCGTGATACGACTGGAGCAGTCACGTCTTGTCACAGATCCAGTAAAATCGCAGGTTGGCCCACCTCTATGAGAAACCGACCCTAAAGTAAATGATATTTACCCCCATTTAGGAGAGCTTACATTTGTATTCAAATTTCAAATTTGATGCGCTCTCAGGTAGTACACAATGTCGCCAATCTAATACAATTATCCCCTACTTTCTGGTACAATTTTTATAGTGCTGATAGCATCCCTGTTCATATTGTCAACTACTTAAGTAAACACCACATCAATTTTATTAGAAAATGTCGACGAGTTAGCATTATTTTGGTATAAATACCGCGCCGAAATCCATTACCGGCAGACTAAGGCTAGTGCAAAGAACCTCAAATGGGAAAAGCCCCTCTAGCTAAGTCTCCTTACAGTGCTATACCTTTAATGGGAAACGCCCTTCTGGGAGTATTGAACGCAGCAGATTAGGTCCAGTGCAAACTATCTTTATTGGGAAACGACCTTCTGGACCTGTCTCAAACCCAGCTTCAGTCTTCAGTCACGCCAAGTGTACAGAGGGTATATACTACAGAGTGGCCTATAAGTAGTACGTCCCTCCGTAGAAGAGACGTCATGATACTATTTCTAGGGTAATATTATTATTATTCAATACATATCTTATTTTACCTATACCAAGCGAGTTTCTCTCTACCTGAACCCCACCTACGCCCCCAGGTCACACTCCTGTTGTGACGTCCCAGGACGAAATGTAAAAGGGTTGTGACAATATTGTTGTATAGATGGCTGCGGAACTCGCTGCGCTCGTCCCGCAGAGGTCCGCCCATAAGTTCCGCAACAATCCACTTATTTGTACTTGAACAATAATTTATTATATAAAGTCAGAATTAGTAAGATTATACATTTTTTGTCAATTTGCCTTTTAACAGGAATTAGTAATATTACTTTATCAAACTAGTAATATATTGTGACAAGTTATTCAAGTAGAAACGAGTGGATTATTGCGGAACTTATAGGTGGACCCAGCCATCTATTCACCAATATGTTGTTCAAGTACGAAACTAACCTGACTCACTCAAATGTGAGTTATTCCCATTAGTTTAAAAAGTACACGTTTCAGGTGAGTGTCTTATTTGAACAGTTCAATAGTATATTGTCAACTACTTAAATACTTAAGTAAATACCACTCTGTACATCAATTTTACTAAAGTGTGTCGACGAGTCAGTATACTAAGGCTCGTGCAAAGCACCTCAAATGGGAAAAGCCCCTCTAGCTAAGTCTCCTCCCAGTGCAAACTACCTTTATGGGAAACGCCCTTCTGGACCTGTCTCAAACCTAGCTTCTTCTGGGAGCATTGAACGCAGCAGACTAGGTCCAGTGGAAACTACCTTTATTGGGAAACGCCCTTCTGGACCTGTCTCAAACCCAGCTTCAGTCTTCATTCTCGCCAAGTATGTACATAATACAGAGTGGCCTATAAGTAGTACGTCCCTCCGTTAGAAGAGACATCATGATACTATTTCTATAAAATAAAAAAAATAGGGTAATATTATTATTATTTAATACATTAAATTATCTTATTATACCTATAGGTACCAAGCGAGTTTCTCTCTACCTGAACCCCACCTACGTCCCCAGGTCACGCTCCTGTTGTGACGTCCCAGGACGAAACGTATAAGGGTTGTGACAATAATGAGTAAAGAATAACTTTTTGATAATCTGATAAAGAAATTCTATATAATTTTGTTTTTTACAAACCCAATTCATTTTACAAAATTGCCGCAATCTACTAATGATTTTTAATTATTCAAGTTCCTAAACATGAAATATTCGCCCAGTTGAAACGACATAATGTTGCAACTTAAAATTTTCACCCATTCGTTTTCAAAACTGTATTTTGAGTCCAAAGAAATATTCAAAAAATGGATTTTCATTAATGTTTTTGTGCTTTTGAGTTTATATTTTGGCTGCTTTCTAAGTCAAGAAAAAAACGTATTTCAAATGGTTACTTTGACAATTGATTTGTGCATTTGCTGCATTATTTATACAAAAAGGTTGATTAATTTGAATTAGATTGAGCATTTTTTTAAAGTTATTGATACATTAATTTGTAAAAAAATTGTAAGTTTCAAAACTGCACTACCAATCCTACTAGAACTTATAGTAATTGTTGCCCTAATATTGATAATTTTATATGAATATTTTTACCAAAATCAATATTTGCAATTTTGTTTATTGAAAATGGATATAATGTTAATTTATATTGTTGAGCTTAAAGTCATAAATACGCTATTGGCATGTTATGGACAAACGATTGGAAGTTTTAATGAAGAAATTAAAGAAAACTATAGGGATTTTCATACAATCCCCAAGCCAGAGTTTAAAAAATTGGAAAATGGTGATTTTATGGTTACTGGCTGGATCAAAGATACTTTGCAGTGCAAAAATAATCAGGAAAATGCCAGGAAAATCAAGGAAATTATTCCAAAAGTTGTAATGCTTATGAGAAGCTTTGATACCTATGGTGAAATATTTAGCACATCACCAAAGCTAATTTTCTTGAGTTTGCTTGTGAATATTTTATATTTTGTATATCAAGTTGAAGAATATTTTACTGGCTCCAATTTTATTTACTTTATGGTAAGTTTTAGCAAAGTTTCTGTTAATTATAATTGTTTAATTATCATTTGTAGCTTTCCTTACTGATTATATGGAAAAAAACAAATAATGTCCAAACAAAAATTCAAACTCTGGGTTTGGATAACTATCGGTTGTACTTGGACATGCCCTTACGTACATTTCTAATTGAAGAAACTATCATCAAAGCAACTTTTTTATTCCTCTACAAGTATTGCTACTTCAATGAAAAATAAAACAAAAAATATAAATACCATCTTGTAAATTTAATAAATTGTCTGCCTCTAAACAAATAATACTTTAAACGTAACAAAAACACCTAAAAGCTAAGTAAATGGCTCGTATAATTAATATTTTTTTTTTTTTTTTGGTTTTTGTACTGGTACTTGGTAACTTGCATGCAAAAATATTCATTATATAAATGGTCCACACAATAATGTAATAAGGCCAATAATTTTTATCACTTAAATAATAATAAATTTATAAATCTTTTTCCGCCTTCATGTTTTCCAGCTCTTTCAAATCCTCAGGCTCAATGTCAGTGTCGCCATAGCCCCAAATATAACTACCATCGCCGCTTCTTTCAGCTCTCCTAGCTATCATTTGACGCGAAACACTTTTCAAATCGTAAGCCCAACCAAGTTTTGCAAAGAAATCTATAAAGGTTGTTGAAGGATTCCAGGAATTACCCAATTCTCCTGTTTTGTAATCCCATGGGAATACGTGATGGTAATTGTGCCAACCTTCTCCTAGTGCTGCTATTGATACTGCTAGATTTTCAACTGGACTTATGTACCTGATGGAATAATTATATAATTTTTTATTAAAATTCTTATTAGATACTTACTTATCGTACGGTTTTTGGCCCCACATATGAGCAACGCTATTGACGAAAAATGCAATATTCAAAGTAATACAAAATCTCATATTGAAGTTAATCCAAAACGAATTCCATAAGGTTTCGTTCCAAAAGTAAACGGGTATCGATACTGGTAGTAGAATGGCACAGAGTAGAAACAATATTGGATACAATCTAGAAATAATTATTAAAAGTTAAAAAATTATTATAAATTCATGTTGTTTTCTTACTTTTTCTGCCACATAACAATGGAATCGCTTTCCAAATCGGACATGTCGACCCGTTTTCGTTTTTCCACTACCAAGGGATGGGGCGTCAATACCAACCAGCCGACGTGGGAAAAGAAAAATCCTCTTTTGGCGTTATGAGGATCGGCATCAGTCTCGCTGTATTTGTGATGGACGCGATGGTCTAAGGCCCAAACGTATATGTGTCTCTAAAAAAAAACAAGTATTTGAACATTAACTATACATTTATTGTATTGCCGAAAAACGATTCAAAAAGGGTTTAAAGTTTTTCCACAGAAGAGCCAATGAGTCAAAACTCTTTTTGCAGAAGAATCTGGCAATTTGCAGAGGGATGATTCTAGAATCCAAGTTCCAAATAGATTCTTAAGTTTTTCTTTTCAAGATTCGCAGAATTCAAGATCACATTACCAAATATCACATTTATTTGAAAGGAACAATTTGGAATCAAAAGGTTTTGAGAACCTGGAAAGGATCTAAAGATTTCAACGATCTTCCCATAGAAGCATTAGCTTAAGAAGTGATGCCTCAAGACTCAGAAAACTTAAACTATCAGGAAATTTATGAAAGATTGACTCAGAATTCATCAGGATCTAAGGATTCTAGAGTATTTGCATAGAAAACGGCAAAAAATTTCTAGGATTGTAACCTGAATATGGTTCAAAGATTCTGAGGGGCTTTTCATAGAAGCACCAGGAAGCTTGAAAGGTAATGATTCCAGATTCAGAAACTTTTAAAAAATCAGGAAATTTGTAAAGTAATGTCTCAAAATTCAGGATCTAAGGATTCTAGAGTTTTTTCACGAAAAAGCCAAGAAATTGCTAGGGTTAACAAAACTCTAGATATCTAGATTTCTTCCAGGAACATCAGAAAATTTGCAAAAGAACGATTCAGGATCATTTACCTGGTAAGATTTAAAGATCATGGGAAAGTTCTCATGAAAGAACCAGGAAGTTCAAGAGTGTTTCTGGAATCGCAGAATTCATGATCATCTGTAGATTCTTTTTAAAAAAACTTTGCAAAGTTATAACTCAAGATTCCAAAGAATTTCCTCGGAAATTTAGAATATTTGTAAGGGAAAGATTCGTACATACATATCCAAGCTTGCAAAATAATGATTCTAGATTGAAAACTTTCAAAAAATCAAGAAATTTCTAGGGTAAGCAAAATTCAAGATCTTAAGATCTCTTCCAGGAATATCAGAAAAAGATCGTGAGAAATTTCTTACGGAAGAACCAGGAAGTTTGAGAATGTTTCTAGAATCGCAGAATTCATGCTAATCTGTGGATTCTTCAACAAAAAACGTTGCAAAGTTATAACTCAAGATTCCAAAGAAGTTCCTCGGAAACTTAGAACATTTACAAGGAAAACATTCGAGATCTAAAGTTCCTACGAAACTGGATATAGTCTAGAAATTCTGATAGATACCTATCATAGAAGTATTCAAGCTTAAAAAATAATGATTCGAGTTTCAGAAACTCTTAAAAAATTAAGACATTTCTAGGGTAAGCAGAATTCTTCAGATTGTGATGAACTTCAGAGAGTGATGACTCCAGAATCAAAGTATTCCAGAGTTTCGCAAAATTCAGGATCTAAAGATCTAAAGAGACTTCTTGATGCGAAAACTCAGAACGTTTGCAAAGGGAAGATTCGAGAACTAAACTTCCTACGAATCTGGATATGGTTTAAAGATTCTGAGGGGCTTTTCATAGAAGTACCAGGAAGCTTGAAAGGTAATGATTCGAGATTCAGAAACTTTCAAAAAATCAGGAAATTTGTAAAGTAATGACTCAGAATTCAGGATCTAAGGATTCTAGAGTTTTTTTCATAAAAAAGTCAAGAAATTTCTAGGGTAAACAGAATTCAAAATCTTAAGATCTCTTCCAAGAACATCAGAAAATTTGCAAAATAACGATTCAGGATCATTTAAAAATGGTAAAAATCATGAGACACTTCTCATGGAAGAACCAGGAAGTTTGAGAGTTTCTAGAATCGCAGAATTCATGATCATCTGTAGATTCTTTTTAAAAAAAGTTGCAAAATGATAACTCAAGATTCCAAAGAATTTCCTCGGAAACTCAGAACATTTGCAAGGAAAATGTTCGAGATCCAAAGTTCCTACGAACCTGGATATGGTCTAGAGATTCTGAGAGATATCATTTAAGTATCCAAGCTTGAAAAATGATGATTCGAGATTCGGAAACTCTCAAAAAATCAAGGAATTTTTAGGGTAAGAAAAATTCTTCAGTGTGATGACGTCAGAGAGTGATGGGTCCAGAATCGGAGATCTCAATATGCTAGAGTTTTTTCATAAAAGCACCAAGAACTTTCCAAGATTTCGCAAAATTCATAATCTAAAGACCTAAAGAGACTTCTCCATGGGGAAACTTAAAACGTTTGTGAAGGAAATATTCGAGATCTAAAGTTCCTATACGAATCTGGATATAGTCTAAAGATTCTAAGAGACTTTTCCAAGAAGCACCAGGAAGCTTGAAAGATAATGATTCGAGATTCAGAAACTCTTGAAAATTTAGGAAATTTGTAACATAATGACTTAGAACTCAGGATCTAAGGATTCTAGATTTTTTCATGAAAAAGCCAAGAAATATCTAGGGCTAGCAGAATTCAAGGTCTTAAGATCTCTTACAAAAACATCAGAAAATTTTCAAAAGAACGATTCAGGATTATTCAAGGATGGTAATATTTGAAGATCATGGGAAACTTCTCATGAAAGAACCAGGAAATTTGAGAATGTTTCTAGAATCGCAGAATTCATGATCATCTGTAGATTCTTTTTAAAAAAACGTTTTAAAGTGATAACTCAAGATTCAAAAGAATTTTCTCGGAAACTTAGCACATTTGCAAGGGAAAGATTTGAGATCTAAAGTTCCTACGAACCTGGATATGGTAAAAGTCTCCGAGCTCAAAAAATAATCATTCGAGATTCAGAAACTATCAAAAAAATTCTAGGGTTAGCAGAATCCTTCAGAGTGTGATGAGTTCAGAGAGTCATGAAAGCACCAAGAACTATCCAAGATTTCGCAAAATTCAGGATCCAAAGATCTAAAGAGACTTCTTGATAGGAAAACTTAGAATGTTGCAAAGGAAAGATTCGAGATCTAACGAGGAATTTTTAGGATACGCTGATGGGGAAACTCAGAACGTTTGCCAAGGAAAGATTTGATATACTTATCTAAAGTTCCTATACGAACCTGAGTATGGTTTAAAGATTCAGAGGGGCTTTTCATAGAAGCACCAGGAAGTTTGAAAAGTAATAAATCGAGATTCAGAAATCTTTCAAAAATCAGGAAATTTGTGAAGTAAATATATTAAGGATTCTAGAGTTTTTGATAGAAATGACAAGAAATTTTTAGAGTACGCTAAATTCAGGATCTTGAGATCTTTTTTTCTAAGAAAAAAAAACAGAATATGTAATTCCAAATCAAGTATTCTGGATCTAATAAAAGATCCAGAATCTTCTCAAAGAAAGACCAGAAAGTTTACAAATAATAACTCACGATTGTTGATTGATAATCCAAAATCTAAATATTCTAGAGTTCTTCAATAGAGGACTGAGAACTTTCCAAGATTTTAGCAAAATTCAGGATCCTAAGATCTAAACAGACTTCTTGATGAGGAAACTCAGAACTTTTGTAAAGGAAAGATTCGATATACTTATATCTAAAGTTCCTATACGAACCTGGATATGGTCTAAAGATTCTGGGGAGCTTTCCATAGAAGCACCAGGAAGCTTGAAAAGTAGGTTATGACTTAGAATTTAGGATCCAAGAACTCTAGAGTTTTTGATAAAAACAGCAAGAAATTTTTAGCGTACGCTGAATTCAGGATCTTGGGTTCTTGTTTCTAAAAAAAAAAGAAGAATATTTGCAAATTATTGAAGGTCCAGAGTCTTTGAGAAGACTGACCAGAATAACGAAAAAGTTTACAAATAATGACTCACAAGTGATTATTGAGGATTCAAAATCTAAATATTCTAGGGTTTTTTAATAAAGGACCAAGAACTTTCCAAGATTTCGCAATATTCAGGATCTTAAAGATCTAAAGAGACTTCTTGATAGAAAAACTCAGAACGTTTGCAATGGAAAGATTTGAGATCTAAAGTTCCTATTCGAACCTGGATATGGTCTAAAGATTCTGAGGGGATTTTCATAAAAGCACGAGGAAGCTTGAAACGTAATGAATCAAGACTTAGAAATTCTTGAAAAATCAGGAAATTAGTAAAAGAATGACTCAGAATTCAGGATCATCTAATAAACTGGTAAAACTTAAAAATCATGAGAATCTTCTCATAGAAGAACCAGGAAGTTTGAGAATATTTCTAGAATCGCAGAATTCAGAATCATCTGTAGATTCTTATGGAAAAAAAAGTAATGACTCAAGATTCAGTAGAATAGTGTGATTTGCAAAGTACCCAGTAACTCCAGAATGTGAGATATTCTGTTCTGGAGTTTTTCCATAAGACTGGCAAGAAATATTCAACATTCGGAGAATTCATGATCTCAGAATAATATGAAAAGTGATGACTAATGATTTAGGAACCTCAAGCAGGGAAAATATCCAAATATTTTACGTGGAATCCAGAAGAAAATCCAGGAAAGTTTAGAGATAGAACTCCAAGGAAATATATTTCGAATTATTATAACTATAATAATGCTATATAATATTTCACTAGTAGTGTAAGTAATGATCTATTACCAACGAACACGAAAGCTCACCAACCAACAGAAAAAAAAGGAATAAATAATTCAATTTTGATTTGTCCAAACTGATAAACTCCCTCTCTCTTTTCGAAATTTCCATTAAGTGCTTGTAATTATTTTCCCCCCGCGACAAAACGACCACAATAAAGGAACATTAGGGCGCGTTATAAATTCTTTGGGATCAAGGCCTCTTCCACATGTTTGGCATGTTAATGCCATGAAAATAGAATGAGGGGAAAATAGAGCACAACAAGAACGACCCACCCACAACATAAAACGAAACTTCGTGGAAACGGGCGCGATTAAGATCGATTTTTTCCCGAAGGCACGAAAAACGCAATAGTCATAATAGTAAATAAAATAATAAAATTTCCATTAAGCCTTGGGGAAGTTTTTTTTTTTGTATAGGGTTATCGATTTAAGAATTAGTTATTAAATAAATACTAACCTGTCCTGCGATGGTAAACAAAAATACTAGGAGTAGCCTCAAAGGCCATGTTGCTTTGTAGGCTCTATGAGACCATAATCTATGTGCTCCGGCAGTTATGCCAAAACCTGAGGCTATCACTGTAAGGAATGCTGAAAAATACAAAAATTAATTATTTTATTTATTCAAAATTGTAGTCTATTTGGAAAATTTAAATTTCGCAATTGGCAATTAAAACTTGTGACGCATATTTATTCCACAATTAGTCATTAGAATTTGAAAATATTTCTATGTTATCAATAAAATAATTAAAATATTGGAATTAATCTTTCTATTTCTATAGTTTTCTGTATATTACTTCGGACTGAATTAACGTTTATAAGAAAATAGAAATTCAAGAGCCTGGAACACATAAAAGTTGAGTAAATCCAATCTATTGATAGATCAAAATTTGTTCCCGATGATGTTTCAAATTGAATCGAAACGTCAACCAAAGAAAAAAGACGGGATTTGAGCTTAAATCCACCAATTCCTAGGGACTATTTCAGGTTTTCAGTTTTCAGAAATCATAATAATAATACATAATAATATGTTCAATAAAATGAATGAAAGGTATTTGAATCTAAATACTGCTGAAAGGAATAAAATAAACAAATTGCCAATTAATATTTCACTGAAAAAATAATCAAAAAACATTTGTCAAATAATTGTGCATGTGTCAATCCATGGCCAGCTTAATGGCGCAAATTTTTCCAGAAAGTCTCTTGTCACTCTCATTGATTAGAAAAGGAGGGGCGATAACGGACTGTCAATTCAACAAATAATAACGATTTCTTTTCAATCAATTTTTGTCTATTATCGGCTCTTGAAGTTAACTGTCGATTGTTACTTCTGTCAAATTGTACAACAAAGTATTTGTCAAATAATTGTGCATGTGTCAATCCATGGCCAACTTGATGGCATATTTTTTCAGAAAGTCTCTTGTCACTCTTATTGATTAGAAAAGGAGGGGCGATGACGGACTGTCAATTCAACAAATGATAAAGATTACTTTGCAATCAATTTTTGTCTATTTCCAGCTCTTGAACTTAACTGTCAATGGTCACTTCTGTCAAACTGTACAACGAATTATTTATCAAATAATTGTGCATGTGTCAATCCATGGCCAACTTGATGGCATATTTTTTCAGAAAGTCTCTATCACTCTCATTAATTAGAAAAGGAGAGCCGATGACGGACTGTCAATTCGACAAATAATAAAGATTACTTCACAATCAATTTTTGTCTATTTCTGGCTCTTAAAGTTAACTGCCAATCATCACTTCTGTCAAATTGTACAACAAAGTATTCGTCAAATAATTGTGCATGTGTCAATCCAACGCCAACTTGATGGCATATTTTTTCAGAAAGTCTCTTGTCACTCTCATTAATTAGAAAAGGAGGGCGGAGGACGGACTGTCAATTCGACAAATAAAGATTTCTTTTCAATTTTCGTCCATTCCCGGCTCTTGAAGTTAACTGTCAATGGTTACTGCTGTCAAATTGTACAACAAAATGTTTCTCAAATAATTGTGCCTGTGTCAATCCATGGCCAACTTGATGGCATATTTTTTCAGGAAGTCTCTGTTACTTTCATTGATGAGGAAAGGAGGGCCGATGACGAACTGTCAATTCAACAAATAATAACGATTTCTTTTCAATCAATTTTTGTCTATTCTCGGCTCTTGAAGTTAACTGTCAATGGTTACTTCTGTCAGATTGTACAACAAAGTATTTGTCAAATAATGGTGCATGTGTCAATCCATGGCCAACTTGATGGCATATTTTTTAAAGTCTCTTCTCTCATTGATTAGAAAAGGAGGGCTGATGACGGACTGTCAATTCACCGAATAATAAAGATTACTTTACAATCAATTTTTGTCTATTTCCTGCTCTTGAACTTAGCTGCGAATGGTCACTTGTGTCAAATTGTACAACAAATTATTCGTCAAATAATTGTGCATGTGTCAATCCAACGCCAACTTGATGGCATATTTTTTCAGATAGTCTCTTGTCACTCTCATTAATTAGAAAAGGAGGGCGGAGGACGGACTGTCAATTCGACAAATAATAAAGATTTCTTTTCAATTTTCGTCCATTCCCGGCTCTTGAAGTTAACTGTCAATGGTTAATTCTGTCATATTGTACAACAAAGTATTTTTCAAATAATTGTGCATGTGTCAATCCATGGCCAACTTGATGGCATATTTTTTCAGGAAGTCTCTGTTACTTTCATTGATGAGGAAAGGAGGGCCGATGACGAACTGTCAATTCAACAAATAATAAAGATTTCTTTACAATCAATTTTTGTCTATTCTCGGCTCTTGAAGTTAACTGTCAATGGTTACTTCTGTCAGATTGTACAACAAAGTATTTTTGAAATAATTGTGCATGTCACTCCGTGGCCAACTGATGACATATTTTTTCAAAAAGTTTCTTGTGACTCTCATTGATTAGAAAAGGAGGGGCAATGATGGACTGTCAATTCAACAAAGATTACTTTACAATCAATTTTTGTCTATTCCCCGCTCTTGAACTTAACTGCCAATGGTCACTTCTGTCAAATTGTATAACGAATTATTTGTCAAATAATTGTGCATGTGTCAATCCATGGCCAACTTATGGCATATTTTTTCAGGAAGTCTCTTGTCACTCTCATTGATTAAAAAAGGAGGGCCGATGACGGGCTGTCAATTCAACAAGTAATAACGATTTCTTTTCAATCAATTTTTATCTATTCTCAGCTCTTGAAGTTAACTGTCCATGGTTACTTCTGTCAAATTGTACAACAAAGTATTTGTCAAATAATTGTGCATGTGTCAATCCATGGCCAACTTGATGGCATATTTTTTCAGAAAGTCTCTTGTCACTCTCATTGATTAGAAAAGGAGAGCCGATGACGAGCTGTCAATTCAACAAATAAAAACGATTTCTTTTTGATTAATTTTAGTCTATTCTCGGCTCTTGAAGTTAACTGTCAATGGTTACTTCTGTCAAATTATGCAACAAAGTATTTGTCAAATAAATTGTGCATGGGTCAATCCATGGCCGACTTGATGACATATTTTTTCAGAAAGTCTCTTGTCACTCTCATTGATTAGAAAAGGAGGGCCGATGACGGACTGTCAATTCAACAAATAATAACGATTTCTTTTCAATCAATTTTTGTCTATTCTCGGCTCTTGAAGTTAACTGTCAATGGTTACTTCTGTCAATTTGTACAACAAAGTATTTGTCATATAATTGTGCATATGTCGATCCATGGCCAACTTGATGACATATTTTTTCAGAAAGTCCCTTGTCACTCTCATTGATTAGAAAAGGAGAGCCGATGACGGACTGTCAATTCAACAAATAATAACGATTTCTTTTCAATCAATTTTTGTCTATTCTCGGCTCTTGAAGTTAACTGTCAATGGTTACTTCTGTCAAATTGTACAACAAAGTATTTGTCAAATAATTATGCATGTGTCAATCCATGGCCAACTTGATGGCATATTTTTTCAGAAAGTCTCTTGTCACTCTCATTGATTAGAAAAGGAGAGCCGATGACGGACTGTCAATTCAACAAATAATAACGATTTCTTTTCAATCAATTTTTGTCTATTCTCGGCTCTTGTAGTTAACTGTCAATGGTTACTTCTGTCAAACTGTACAAGTATTTGTCAAATAATTATGCATGTGTCAATCCATGGCCAACTTGATGGCATATTTTTTCAGAAAGTCTCTTGTCACTCTTATTGATTAGAAAAGGAGGGGCGATGACGGACTGTCAATTCAACAAATAAAAACGATTTCTTTTTGATTAATTTTAGTCTATTCTCGGCTCTTGAAGTTAACTGTCAATGGTTACTTCTGTCAAATTATGCAACAAAGTATTTGTCAAATAAATTGTGCATGGGTCAATCCATGGCCGACTTGATGACATATTTTTTCAGAAAGTCTCTTGTCACTCTCATTGATTAGAAAAGGAGGGCCGATGACGGACTGTCAATTCAACAAATAATAACGATTTCTATTCAATCAATTTTTGTCTATTCTCGGCTCTTGAAGTTAACTGTCAATGGTTACTTCTGTCAATTTGTACAACAAAGTATTTGTCATATAATTGTGCATATGTCGATCCATGGCCAACTTGATGACATATTTTTTCAGAAAGTCTCTTGTCACTCTCATTGATAAGAAAAGGAGAGCCGATGACGGACTGTCAATTCAACAAATAATTACGATTTCTTTTCAATCAATTTTTGTCTATTCTCGGCTCTTGTAGTTAACTGTCAATGGTTACTTCTGTCAAACTGTACAAGTATTTGTCAAATAATTATGCATGTGTCAATCCATGGCCAACTTGATGGCATATTTTTTCAGAAAGTCTCTTGTCACTCTCATTGATTAGAAAAGGAGGGGCGATGACGGACTGTCAATTCAACAAATAAAAACGATTTCTTTTTGATTAATTTTAGTCTATTCTCGGCTCTTGAAGTTAACTGTCAATGGTTACTTCTGTCAAATTATGCAACAAAGTATTTGTCAAATAAATTGTGCATGGGTCAATCCATGGCCGACTTGATGACATATTTTTTCAGAAAGTCTCTTGTCACTCTCATTGATTAGAAAAGGAGGGCCGATGACGGACTGTCAATTCAACAAATAATAACGATTCCTTTTCAATCAATGTTTGTCTATTCTCGGCTCTTGAAGTTAACTGTCAATGGTTACTTCTGTCAATTTGTACAACAAAGTATTTGTCATATAATTGTGCATATGTCGATCCATGGCCAACTTGATGACATATTTTTTCAGAAAGTCTCTTGTCACTCTCATTGATTAGAAAAGGAGAGCCGATGACGGACTGTCAATTCAACAAATAATAACGATTTCTTTTCAATCAATTTTTGTCTATTCTCGGCTCTTGTAGTTAACTGTCAATGGTTACTTCTGTCAAACTGTACAAGTATTTGTCAAATAATTATGCATGTGTCAATCCATGGCCAACTTGATGGCATATTTTTTTAGAAAATCTCTTGTCACTCTCATTTGATTAGAAAAGGAGGGCCGATGACGGATTGTCAATTCAACAAATAATAAAAATTACTTTACAATCAATTTTCGTGAATTCCCGGCTCTTGAAGTTGACTGTCAATGGTCACTTCTGTCAAATTATACAACGAATTATTTGTCAAATAACTGTGCATGTGTCAATCCATGGCCAACTTGATGGCATATTTTTTCAGAAAGTCTCTGTCACTCTCATTAATTAGAAAAGGAGGGCCGATGACAGACTGTCAATTCAACAAATAATAAAGATTTCTTTCCAATCAATTTTCCTCTATTCCCGGCTCTTGAACTTAACTGCCAATGGTCACCTCTGTCAAATTATACAATGAATTATTTGTCAAATAACTGTGCATGTGTCAATCCAAGACCAACTTGATGGCATATTTTTTCAGAAAGTCTCTTGTCACTCTTATTGATTAGAAAAGGAGGGCTGATGATGGACTGTCAATTCACCGAATAATAAAGATTACTTTACAATCAATTTTTGTCTATTTCCTGCTCTTGAACTTAGCTGTCAATGGTCACTTCTGTCAAATTGTACAACGAATTATTTGTTTAAAATAAACTCACTATTTTTGTCTTTTGAATTGATTAAAATTATTACATAACGTAGCGACAGGCTCTTGAGGATTTCCTTCGAATAGAGAGAATTTCCAAGGAAAGATCCAAGACAATATCTACAACTACAAAAAAGTTTGTTGAGGAAACAAAAAAATACTCTGAGGAGAACTTTTCAGATAAATTGGAAATAGGAAAATTACAGAAATAATATAGATAGGATCAGAGACAAAACGACCTGAAAAACTTTGTAGGATAAAATCTCAAAAACAAGAAAACTGAGAATAATCAAAGATCACAAATATGAAAAACTTGAAATATCCAAGAGAAAAGAATTACAAAAAATTTAACGATGGAAAACTCAAAACTATTTTACAAATATTGGAAGGTTCCACATTCTTTGGTTCCACTAAATACTGAAAGAAACAATCAAAGGCAAATTAGGCTGAAAAATCTTTCAGGAGAGTTGAAACACTCAATAGTAGGATAAATTGTCTGAAGCTGGAAAATCACATACGGAAAGACATTGAGAATAATTTACAGAAATAACAAGACCAGAAGAAAAAGAAAACAGGAAAATATTGAAAAACACTGAAAATCTCTTATTGGCATTTAGAAATTAATTACAGAAAGAAGGAATACCTATAAGGAAAAAGACTGGATAGTTGTAAAAGGTCCGATCGTTCTGAATTTTTTATATGTTGTTAGGACCTAAATCAATATTGAAAAACCAGATTTGCAATTTCCAAAGTTGTGTGCGAGCGGCGGTGTACCCAAAAAACCATGAAATTTTCGGACTTTTTTCAGTTTCTCTCAGTGAAAGAAGGGTCTGACCGGTATATATATGGAAATTGCAAATCTGTTTTTTTTAATATTGGTTTAGGTCCTTACAACATATAAAAAATTCAGAACGACCGGACCCTTTACAAGCACGGATGTAGGTACATCTTGATTGGCCTAGCAGGAGGACATTTTACGAAAATTGGGACACTGACTAAAGAAAATAGGCATTCCTCAAAAATAAAAAGATCGCAAATGGAAAACTTGCAAGAAATTAAAAGACAAAACAGAAAAACTTTGAAGAACCAAGACAACAAAATTGAAAAATGGAGAACTTGAGGATGTTGAAGAGAATAAATCGAAGACTCTGAGGACCTTTTATGTAACTTAAGGCAAAACAACAACAAAAAAACTGAAAAAGGGAAAGATAAAAATATTCACAAATTGGAACACAAATAGAAGAATTTGAGCACATTCACCAGGAATGTTAAAAACTATTTGCAGTAACTTTTCAATGAATATCGTTATTAAAATTAATCGATAATGATAAACAAACCATATCCTTACCAAAAATTGAAGTATAAATTTTCGCTGACCACACGCACAAGAAAAATCCATACAAACACCCAATGTGTATAAATAATTGCGCTACTAAGTCCGGCCACCTTATCGTCGGCGAAAACTTTTCAATTTCTTTGCTTAATTTACTATTTAATCTAGTTTCTTCATTTAGTTTATTCAACACTCGACTTATTTCATTGTCCTTTTCGCTGTCCAACTTTACGTTTTCATTTCGGTTGACGTCGGACGTTGTCCTGCAAGTGAGTTGTGCGTTCGACGACGGAGCTATTGGAGTTGTTGGACACATTTTTTGGACAATTGCATCTGAAACAAAACAAAAACAATATTTAATAATAGACCATTACGTTACGCTACGGGGAGCATTACCTCATCAAATATGAACTATTATTATTCATAAAAAAAAACTGTGTCACCACTTAGCGGTTACCCTGAGCATGAAAAATTGTATAAATAAAGGTTACTCAACAATTTGTTTTTGTGTAGGTATTTGTTTATTGAAATTCTCAACATAGGAATTATTTGAAAAATACAAGATTATAGCATCACAACATTATAATTTTCGATTAATTGCTATGATAATAATTAGATGAGTGCTATTATATACATAGTTGATTTGTGGACTTTCCAATTGATGCTTAATTTTTTTCTGTATAATGTTGCCTAATGGCACCAATGACACCAATGATTTACAGATAATATGATACCAATGATTTACAGATAATATGATATGTACAAATGCACCAGTAGTGTTTACGAAAACCAATAAAATTTTCAAGTTTCAAAAATATATAGATTAAAATAGAACTTTATTAGTTTAATCTTGGTAAGTAGGAAGATAAACTAAGGAAATACGTGTATTTTGAATTGGAAATTTTGATGTAACTGATGCATGATAATGTAAGTATAATGATTTTTTTGTATTGGGTCAGCTGCAGTATGAGTTTCTAATTTTTTCATTCAAAGAATACTTATATTATTCCTGCAAAGTGCAAACTAATTGTCTTCTCATCAACGGTCTGTCCTGAAGCTTATCTGGAAATATTTCTCAAAACTCCTTCACGATTGTTTTCTCTAGAGCAGCCAATGAGTTCCTTGATTATTCAACAGCAAATTGTAACACCCTTTACTGAAACCTATGGTTTTGGTTTTTGAATCTCTTCTCAAACTTATACCTCAAGTTGTCTCTTTAACAGTTTCTCCTGATGAATCATGTATCAGAAGTCTTTTCTGAATCTTCTGCCACAAATTACTGAAGCTCTCGACTCCTCAGAAGTTTAGTTTTATCTTCAAGGATCAATGCTAGTTTCTTATTATTTATTGGGTATACTTCTTAAGAACAGAAAATAAAACGGAAATGTTTAGACTTTTTTAAAAGTCTACTTCTTGGTATTCCAATTTCTCAGTAATTTTGTTTTTTCCATAAGCCCATGATCCTTGAGTTTATAATCTTAAATTTTTTAGTAGTTGTTTGTCAAAGTTTCTCTAATTTTTGTTGTTTCTCAAATTGTTTTAATATTCGGGATTTTTCAACTTCTCAAAACTACTTCTTTATAAGCATATTAACTCTATTAAAGGATTCTTTGTGTCATTCTGGTTTTTCTTATGTTCCTTCTTTCGGCGAAATTCTCCAACATCCAATGCATGAATAATGATCACTGTACCGGCACCTCTAAAACAATTATTATGTCCGACAAAGTCAATTAAATTCAAAATTTGGAGCATTTTGTGTTTCTTTCCATTAGAGAATCCATAGAAAAAATGTCCACCAAATCAAAAGCCAAGAATATTTCAAAATTTAAACCATTACCGGCTCTTGATTGTCTCTAGAATACTTTTTCCAACTCTAACAAGCCAAGAGCCGCTGATAAATAAAATTTGGATTCATTTGGGCTCTAAATGATCACTGTACCGGCTCTTGATCACCTCTAAAACAATTAATATGTCCGGTGAAGTCAATTAAATCCAAAATTTGGAGCATTTTGTGTTTCCTTCCCATTAGAGAATCAATAGAAAATATGTCCGACAAATCAAAAGCCAAGAATAATTCAAAATTTGAACCATTACCGGCTCTTGATTGTCTCTAGAATAATTTTCCAGCTCCAGCAAGTCAAGAGTCTCTTATATGTAAAATTTTGATTCATTTGGGCTCTAAATGATCACTGTACCGGCTCTTGATCACCTCTAGAATAATTATTATTGTCCGGCAAAGTCAATTGAATTCAAAATTTGGAGCTTTTTGTGTTTCCTTTCCATTTGAGAATCAATAGAAAAGATGTCCATCAAATCAAAAACCAAGAATAATTCAAAATTTGAACCATTACCGGCGCTTGATTGTCTCTAGAATACTTTTCCCAGCTCCAGCAAGTCAAGAGTCTCTTATATGTAAAATTTTGATTCATTTGGGCTCTAAATGATCACTATACCGGCTCTTGATCACCTCTAGAACAAATATTATTGTCCGACAAAGTCAATTGAATTCAAAATTTGGAACATTTTGTGTTTCTTTCCCATTAGAGAATCAATAGAAAAGATGTCCACCAAATCAAAAGCCAAGAATAATTCAAAATTTGAACCATTACCAGCGCTTGATTGTCTCTAGAATACTTTTTCCAGCTCCAGCAAGTCAAGAGTCTCTTATATGTAAAATTTTGATTCATTTGGGCTCTAAGTGATCACTGTACCGGCTCTTGATCACCTCTAGAATAATTATTATTGTCCGGCAAAGTCATTTGAATTAAAAATTTGGAGCATTTTGTGTTCCCTTCTCATTTGAGAATCGATAGAAAAGATGTCCACCAAATCAAAAGCCAAGAATAATTCAAAATTTAAACCATTACCGGCTCTAGAATACTTTTTCCAACTCCAGCAAGTCAAGAGTCTCTTAATGTAAAATTTTGATTCATTTGGGCTCTAAATGATCACTGTACCGGCTCTTGATCACCTCTAGAATAATTATTATTGTCCGACAAAGTCAATTGAATTCAGAATTTGGAGCATTTTGTGTTTCCTTCCCATTTGAGAATCGATAGAGAAGATGTCCACCAAATCAAAAGCCAAGAATAATTCAAAATTTGAACCATTACCGGCTTTTGATTGCCTCTAGAATACTTTTTCCAGCTCCAGCAAGTCAAGAGTTTCTTATATGTAAAATTTTGATTCTTTTGGGCTCTTATTATACACTCTATCGGCTCTTGATCACTTCTAGAACAATTATTATGTCCGGCAAATTCAATTAAATTCAAAATTTGGAGCATTTTATGTTGTTTTCCATTAGAGAATCCATAGAAGAAATGTCCAGCAAATCAAAAGCCCAGAATAATTCTAAATTTAAACCATTACCGGCTCTTGATTCTCTCTAGAAAACTTTTCCCAGCTCTAACAACCTAAGAGCCGCTTATTTTTAAAATTTGGATTCATTTGGGCTCTAATAAATGCTAATGCATGTAAAAAAATTTCAGAGTATTATCCTAACGTGTTGTGAAACACGTACTTCTTGGTTACCCATTATCTAAGTTCACCACAGGCCACTGCCAGCTATAAGAAAACATCTCCATTCAACAGGATTGAGAGAGTCACTCTGTGCAAGGGATGCGAACAGGAAGACGAAACAGTGGAGCATCTGCTTTGCTTCAATGATGTGGTTCATCAAATTGAAATGCACCCTTATTCAATAGCAAGTACAGCATTTAACGTAGAAAACGGTCATTACGAGTTTAAACGAATGCCATTTGGATTAAAAAATGCACCTGCAACATTCCAAAGAGCTATGGACAACATATTAGCAGGACTTACAGAATAAAATATGCTTGGTGCTTATGGATGATATAATTATATTTTCCATATCATTACAAGAACATATAAAGAATTTGAAAAGAGTATTCGAAAGATTAGAAATTAGTATTACCTATCTTTCTGAGGTAACATTAGGCTGGACGATGGCCTGAAGGATTAGCAGGACCAGGAGGTCATACAAGAGGTTCAATGGGGTCTAAATGACATAACCCAGCCGTCATGGAAAACCCTCCACCAAATCCAGATCCAGAAGAGCGGGGAACAGTTTGGAAAATCCTTGCAGGAAAGAAGACGACACTGGAACTCAGAACTGATACAATGGAATCGTATGCTGAGACAGATCGAGATGAAATGAAAAGAAATTTTGTTTTTTCCATAAATCAGCATATGATCCTTGAGTTTGCAATCTTAAAATTTTTAGTACTTCTTTTGCCTTGGATCTTTCAGTTATTCAAATTTTCTCTATTCATTTCTCTTATTTTTGTTGTTTCTTAAATTGTTTTATTGCTAGGAATTTTCCAGCTTCTCAAAACTACTTTTTTCTCAGCATATTAACTCTATTGAAGGATTCTTTGTGTCATTCTGGTTCTTCTTATGTTCTTTTTTTCTGGGATTCTCCAACATCCAATCAAAATTTATGCCATTACCGACTCTTGATTGTCTCTAGAAAACTTTTCCCAGCTCTAACAAGCTAAGCCGCTTATTTTTAAAATTTGGATTTATTTGGGCTCTAATAAATGTTAATGCATGTGAAAAAATTTCAGAGTATTATCATAACGTATCTTCAAACGTGTAATTCTTGGGGTTCAAATTTCTCAGTATTTTTGTTTTTTCAATAAGTCCATGATCCTTGAAATTGCAATCTTGAATTTTTCAGTAGTTCTTTTTGCCTTGGATGTTTCAGTTTTCCAAAGTTTCTCTATTCATTATTTCTCTAATTTTTGTAGATTATTCTCAATGTAGTATTGGGATCTTGGGTTATGGTAAAGGGAGACAAAGACCACTTGTTGTATGGCAACCTTCCGTATATTATAGATACTTTTTCAAGCCCTAAAAGACAACAAACAAAAAATACTTTAGGCAATAGGTAATAATATTTAATAATCATTACAATACATCTAACAAAAACATCCTTGGCTTGGCTATTATATTTATGTCCTCAATGTTTTCTTGTCCAAAATTCTTCCTCCACTCAAAGGATTCTCTTTGTCATTCTGGTTTTTCCTTATGTTCTTTTTTCTGGAATTCTCCAACATCCAAAGTATAGTTGATTCGTTGAGAATTACCAAAACTGTGAGCAAATTTGTAAATCCATATCAGAGAATATTTTTGTATCACTTGTGGTTTTTGAGTTATTTGATCTTGAAGTTTTTGATAAAACCTCAATCAAATTCCAACTTTGAAGCCTGATTTCTCGAAGTCTATAAAAGCAATTGATTTAGTTTTTGGAGGTTTTATAGAGAATTTAATCCTCTTTCAGAAAATCTGCAATACAAATTGATTAGATGAAA